GCTTTTGAAAAAGGAACCCTTAATTCTTAATACATGATCATAGTTTTAACAATTTTTTGAAGTAGTAATCCCCTTCACCATTGTCCCAACAATATCGATATTTCACCAACTTCAGCCTTTTACAAAAAAAAATCTGCTGCAGTTTTTTTATTGGCACTTATTTCCTTTTAACACTGTTCATGCATTTTCCAATCATTAAATCACTTTGCACCTTTTTCCATATTTTCTATTCTGTTCAGCTTGAGACTGCTTTGTTTCTTTGTCTGTATTGTATTGCTCTGTCCCTTGTGTATTTATGTTGTACCATCTTTATATTTGTGTCATCAAGTCGATTAATCTGAGGTCATTTTCATCATTTTTCAGATGGTAAGTAGGCATACATATATACTCCCATATGTAGTTGTTTAACACGAATGCCTTACTAATGTTAATGTTGTGGAAGATTGTCACAGTCATCGGAGGACTGCCTTTCTCGGTTTTCTTTTAATAACTGAAAAGATTTGTTACTTTTTATTATGCTTCGTGACTTGTGCAAAAGTTACTTGGGTCACTTTCAGATAGATAAGTGACTTATATATACATAAATGATGTCGATCTACAAATAGAATATGACCCTAAAAAAAATCCCACTATTGGCAGTTGACAAGTCTCTGAGATTGGCTGTTTTCCTTTAACAGGAGTGATATATTTGGTTTAGTTTCCTCATAAAAGCTAGTACCGTTGACAAAACTTTCACAAGTATCATGAAATTTCCTTTGTCATCATAGTTACTTATCCAATTGAACCCTATGCTTCAAAGCCTACCGGTGTTGAGCTCCCTTTAGTTAGCTGTTAGGTTAATATCTCTACAAGCTGAGGCATATGGTTTGACCCAGAGAGTTAACAAACATACTAGTTGATGCGGAGCAGGTTTTTTCTAATCTGTACATACACAATGAGGAATTGAGGTTTAACAGATCTGAATGGCTCCCGAATTTTCATGTTTTTCCCAGAATATTTACAAATATTTACTCTCAACTTGGTGTCATGTTGGAGTATATAATGCTTCACTTTTGAAAAATCTCTTTTGTGACCCAAAGGCTGTTAAATATAAAACCAAAGCAGTGAAAGAATGTGTATCTATGACACCCAGGAAATTTCATATTTAGGAGTGTCTAGTTGTCTAGATGTATTGTAGAAGTAGTATTGATGTCTTTTTGTTGAACATATATTTCGGTTTATGTCTTTTTACCAAATGCTAAATCATGAGATGATTTTGTTAATCATTCTTCTCACTTTTTTGTTTGGCCTCATGAGCTGACTTATGTGTAACATGTCAACAAAGAGAATACCGCCCTCCCTGTCAGGCAGATTAATGAAACTGCCAAAATATTCCATTACTACCTACGCAGGAATGGTCTTTGTGTTTGCATTTAACTGCACCCCTGGCTGGTTCGTCAAATTAAGAGGGATTACAATTGTTATTTCAACACAATTTAAGACATTGCCAATAGAGTTTGTTTGCAGAAATCCTACTTCTGAACTCATTTCTTTCTTTCAAGCAAGCAAAGTTGGTTTTCTCAAGTGTTTATGATGGAAACCAATATTGTTTTGTAATTTCCTTACTACAGTGTACATCCCATGAGTCAAATATATACAAATTGATCTGATAGTTTTTCTTATAAATGATGCCTTTACTTTATGAGTTTTTTTCTTTAAAAAAAATCAGCCCGTAATTGATGACTTTCTTCATTCTTCTCGTTTTGCGTACAAAGCTACATTTGTTGATTAATTAATGTGAAGGAACAGAGTGTGCCACTAAAGTGCCAGTGGTTATCATCACTTTTCTCTTGTTTGATATCAAACAACTGCGGTGATTTGTGTACTGCAAAGAACTTTGCTTGTAATAGTTAAGGTAAAAGACAGGGGATATAGGGATAGAGTGTAATGATTCATGGTCTAGCATAATTATGATATTGTGAAGACCCTTTAGCTCTGAAGACGAAAAGAAAAAAAAAAGGAAATATTCATGTCCTCTTTCACACTTCCTTCAAGTCTGTCTTTTCACACACAGAAATGTCAACTCAAGTTATACTAGTTTTGACAACGCTGGGTTTTTTTTTGGGGGGGGGGGGAGGGGGTATTTTCCAGGGATGATCATAGTATAAAGACAACTGTTGAAGATTCTGCGTTTTTGGAATAAGGATTTGCAGCTTTTGCAAAACTTGTATGTTTGTTAGTGTTCCTCTCAAGATTTTAAACATTTCTCCCACTTGACAGGCTACAAAGCCAAGATGTACCCGAAAAAGGAACTTAATATGCTGGCCTTGCGTTCAGCAGTCGATACTGTCTTTCGGTTGTTTCCATTTCATAACATTTTATTTCAACTTTGATTTCTAAGATGACAGCTCAGACTCGGAAGGTAACGTCTTACCATGTCGAACCTTTTCTCTGCTCTGCCTCTTCGACCATAATGCCTCTATTGACCACCTGCATTGTATTGAATTGTCGTAAACGAGCTCATCATAAGCATACATAGTTTGTACTGAACCAGCGTTTTGCTCTATATAATGAAACAGAATTACCTTGATAGCTTGTTGCTAATTCTAATGAGCGCTTATGTGTGTTATTTTGTGCTCGTATAAACACCTATTGAGTGAAAGTGATTATCAGACTATTGAGTGAGGATTGAATGTCCAGTCCTAAAGGCCATTCTCATTGTAAACCCTTTGGTAGGTCTGTGTAATGTTGTATCCGGCTATAGTGTACTTGGCCTTGCTGGTATAAACAGTGTTTTGGTTTCTTTGGGTATGGACATTCGTTCCTTTCCTGAAAAATTGTGAGACCCCAGCTTAAAGGATATCATCGCCTTCAAGTAATTATAGTTCCTGTCTGCTTTATAATGGAATGCATTTTTGTTTCATTTTTGCGTTTGCATGCATTCAAATATTTTCTGACAATCATATTATTTTATGCTAAGGTGGAACCTCTTTGCATTGAAACTATAACTGGTTTCTAGTCAGGGGTGTTGGCATGTCGGCTACCAGGGTATACCCTGTTGATTGTCCATTTTTTTCATAAACAAAATCCATGAAAACGGTATCTTTCTGGTGTTGCAAAAAGCCATGATATGGTTACTATAATTTGGGATTTTCATTTCTCCCGTGCGTTTCCCGAAAGGTGTTTCTACTCTATTTCAACTCCCGACACTTTTTTGTCCTCAGTTTTTCTTCTTTCTGGGTTGTTGGTTGACTTGCAGCTGACGTGGTTAAACATCTTCCTTTCTCTTGTTACACCTCCACTCCTTTCAGTCCCCCCCCCCTCCACTCTCTCTTTTCTCTCTCTCTCTCTCTCTCTCTCTCTCTCTCTCTCTCTCTCTCCCTCTCTCTCCT